CATTTTGTTCTACAGATAAGTTGAGCAGTTTTCCGACATCTCCATCCTACACCAGGGGAATAATTATCCTAATGAATTTGAAGGAACAGAAAATGAGAAATGGATTCACAGACCTTGGAGGTTGAGTGGAAACTTGACCAAAAAAAAAAAAAAATGAACCCTTGGTAGAATATGTTTAAAAATTTTTCTTTTTTGGGAGAATTTGGTGGCCTACCAAAGCTAAGAGAAAAACAAGCTGTCATACTTGAGCTTGTGTATTGAAAGGCTGAGGTCCTCACCAGTCATTAAAGGAACTCACATTCTTGCTGATTCCTGTGGAGAAAAATTATGAAGTGCAAACCATTCAGGAATGAAACTCTAGTGAATTTATGAGAAGGAAGCAAAAGAATTTCAGAGAGCAGATGGTATTTTCTCCTCTCTTTCAATGCTATCTGAAAGAGGATGGCTGAGCTAATGGGCAAACAACCATGTAGAGAGTTAAATGAGTCGATTTTCTCGATGATAACTAAGGGAATAAACATTAGCAGAAGCCATTAGGGGGTAAAAATGAGTGAATTTGAAGAAGAGTTCATGGACTGACCAAGGTGGTTTTAAATTAATTTTTCTGAAAGGATAGATAAGAATTCCAGCTAAAATTATGAAACTGTACTTTAGGAGTGTAGGTAGGCATGTTTGATTTTCTGTCTCCAGATCCCTTAAATCACCTTAGCCAACTTGATGGCCTGTAGAGACTTTGCTCACAGTTGGTTCCAGAACCAAGTTTTCTCCTAGTCTGATGAACTGAAGCGAGTACTCGAGCAATGGTTTAAAAAAATGTCTAAATTAAATTACCTTGGCTAGTATTATCTTTCTCCTTATTCCAGTTCCCTAACAGATCCCTCCTTTGTTCCTTATCAAACGCTGTACCACAATTTCAGTAATTGATTGCTTTCTTATTTTCTTGCACCATAACCTAGTCACTCAATCTCAGTTCTGTCTCCAGTGGTCAGCCTGTTCCTGGACATCTTTGCCTATGGTAAGGACAAATACAAATTAAAAGTAAGATGCTTAACTCTGCCCATTGAAAATAAGAAAACACAGTTCCCTTCCTTCCTTTGTCTTAGAACATTTCCTTTAGACATACATTTACAGCTATATGTTCTAAGCATCTTTGAAATATATGCAGATCATTAAAGCCAAAGTAAGACGGTCATGGAGTGCCTTTCTGAGGGACTTAGAAGCCATCTCTCTGAAATAGGAACATCAAGAGGGCTATGACCCCATCTCCCATTTTTTGTGAAATGATAGGAGGCTAATTTTCACAGATACCTGGCTCCAAGTTGCAAAGCATAACATAAAGATAGGAGAAATTTATCAATTGTTTCCTTTGTATAAAACCTACTAACTAACTCACACGGTCCCCTCAATCAACAAGTAAATTTAGGATGTAATATGTGTCGTACATGAAGGCTGTCAAGTCCTCTTCTGGAGGAATTGTTGCTCATCTTGAAAACTAGTAATGGGTTGTATCTTGCACAGCTTGATTATATGAAGGGTGATAGGGCCCTGGGAGAGAGACATCAGGGAGATGCACCGGTGGTCTGGTGAGCAGCATTCAGGTTGACTTGTAGTGGAGCTGCTGTGGCACAGTGGTGGTCCAGGGTGTTTAAAGGCAGGAATTCGCTCATTTAAAAACAAGTAATGTTTCTCATTAATAACACTGAGGAGACCAATTAGAAATATATAGAATTTTTCTCCTCTTTATGACAAAATCTTTAAATGGCTTTCTCTCATTAAAACTTTTTCTTTATGTTGGAAGATACCTATGTGTTCTCCTTTTTGAAGATTATGCTGTGACATTAATGACTTAAAAACATGGTAGGTTTTCAGCCAGCCCTGAAAAACACCAAAGGTTGGTCGGTTGCTCCTAGAGTATTGAAGATTGCAGGGAAAATAAACTCAACAACATTTTTATCTTGTTCTCTAAGCCTAATGATCATTCAAAACACAAAAATACAAAAATGATAAAACCATATTCATTTGATGTCATTACAGCCTCCTTGAAGGATAAAAGTTTTTTGTTTATTCATTTGGCAAACATTTAATTGGGGCCCACTTTCCCTCCTATAATATCAAATATTTATGTGGGAGAGGTGATTATTTAAGTAAAGCACTTCTCACTTCACATTAAAAACAGACTGAGGCAAACATTGACATTTCAGCTGTAGATTAAAAGAAAAATGTATAGGATATACATACTTCACAGCTACTGTCATGTACATAATGGAACAAAAAGGAAGCTTTTCAGCAACAAAAATAACAACAAAAACAAGTTATAGAAAAAGCAATTAAAAACACAACTGGGAGGGACAGAGCTATCCTTAGAAACCCACTCAGATATGATTCATGTCTTGGCACTTTCATATAGAGAATTTACAATAACTGGATACATGTATCAAAGCCTCCTATGGAAAAAGGTAGAAACTGTGCCAGATCAAATCTATAATTTCAGCAGAGCAATGACAACTATAATAACTAATTAAATATAACTGTTAGATGTGAAAACTAATAACCAAGGGGAAAAATAGCTTTGAAGGCTCATCAGATAACATAGCTGAGGAGAGAAGTAGATGTACAATATGTCAGTGGAATTTACTCAGATGGCACACAAAGATAATAGACACAGCAAACAAATTTAAAATGGGGAATTCAAAGGCTGTGTGACAACGCAAAATGACCTCACATATTCATAACTGGAATTCAAGATGGAGAAAGAAAAAAGAATAGAGCAGAAGAGCCTGTGGCTCAAAGACTAGGGTGCTGGCCCCATATACTGGAGGTGGAGGGTTCAAACCCAGCCCAGCCAAAAGAAAAAAAGAAAAAATATATATACTTTTGCTAGGTCCTTACACAATATATAAAACAGTATAACATTTGATTATAGAATGATTTAAGTGTATGTTTTAAACTCTAAAACAAACAGCATATTTTTCAAAAAGGTTTAAAAAATAGGGCGGTGCCTGTGGCTCAAGGAGTAGGGCACCGGCCCCATATACTGGGGGTGGCAGGTTTGAGCCTGGCCTCAGCCAAAATTACAAAAAAAAAAAAAAAAAAGTTTAAAAAATAAGTCAACCAAGGATATAAGATAGAATCTGAAAAAATGCTGAAGGAAACTAAGAGAAGGTGGAAAAAGAAAAAACAAGAAAGAAATAGAAAATGGTTAACAAGATATTAGATCTTTGACCCAAACATATCAGTAGTCATTTTAAATGTGAGGGTCTAGTTTTATTAAGATTAGCAAGAGGGAATAAATGAAAATATGACGTGATTGTCAAAACCTTTTCATATCTTATGAAAGACTTGAATACAGACACCAGAAGCTCTGTGCATGCAAAACAATATTATTTAAAAATAGAACCAAATTGTCACAGGACAACCAAATTTTTAAAAGTTTGTAAGAAGCCAGAAAAAAACAAATAAAAGAAAGCAACAGTTTGACGCTAGAAAGATTTGTCATCAAAACTCAATATGGCCAAAAGAATGTATCTTTAAATTTGAAAGAATGGACACCCCAGATTTCTATATTAAGTGAAAATGTGTCAGAAATGAAGTTTGAAAAAGGTATAGTTATAGATTCTACATATTAAAAGGATAATAGAAATATTATGAGCAGTTTTATGCCAATAAATTCAGAAAGTTGTATGAAATAAACAAATTTATTAAAAAATACAAGATTCAAAATCAACCCTAAAGGAGAAGTTGAAATAATGACATTTAAAAAAAAACAAACACAAAATTCTCATTAGCGGATCTGAGTCACATAAAATGCTAAAAGATGTTCTTCAGACAGATAAATTATACCTGAAGGAAACTTGGATTACCAGGAAGGAATATGATTACAAATA